ATGCGGGATTCACCTGGAGACAGCGGGAATACCGGGAATATATGGATTATATTGAATATATTGAATATATGGGATACATGGAATACATGAAATATACTGAATATATTGAATATATTGAATATATGGGATACATGGGATATACTGAATATATTGAATTTAGGGGATATATAAAATATATGGGATATATAGGATACATGGGTTACATGGAATGTATGGATTACATGAAATATATTAATTATATTGATTATATGGATTATGTGGAATATATAAATTATATTAATTCTATTGATTTTATTAATTATATTTATTATATGGAATATATTAATTATATGCATTGTATGGATTATATTGATTATATGGATTGTGTGGAACATATTAATTCTATTGATTATATTTATTATTATATGGATTATATGGGATGTATTAATTAAATGGGTTATATGGATTTATATCAATTAAATGCATTGTGTGGAATATGAATTGTTGTCTATCATTTCTATAAAACAATGTGTGTAAATGGAAGGTTTGTGATAAAACCCAGCCGTGGCAACGAGGCCGATTCTCACCGGGGCTTCTGCACCCTCGGCCCACCCATTGCTGCCCCTCAGGGACACACCTGGATCCTGAAATCCCCAAATCCCGGACCCCGACATCCCAAATCCCACATCCCGAAATCCCGAAATCCTGGATCCTTCTCACCGGGGCTTCTGCACCCTCGGCCCACCCATTGCTGCCCCTCAGGGACACACCTGGATCCCGAAATCCCGAAATCCCGGACCCCGACATCCCAAATCCCACATCCCGAAATCCCGAAATCCTGGATCCCGAAATCCCGGACCCCGACATCCCCAAATCCCACATCCCGACATCCCGAAATCCCGGACCCCGACATCCCAAAATCCCACATCCCGCATCCCAAAATCCCGAAATCCTGGATCCCAAAATCCCGAAATCCCGGACCCCGACATCCCCAAATCCCACATCCCGCATCCCAAAATCCCGAAATCCTGGATCCCAAAATCCCGAAATCCCGGACCCCGACATCCCCAAATCCCACATCCCGCATCCCAAAATCCCGAAATCCTGGATCCCAAAATCCCGAAATCCCGGACCCCGACATCCCCAAATCCCACATCCCGCATCCCAAAATCCCGAAATCCTGGATCCCAAAATCCCGAAATCCCGGACCCCGACATCCCCAAACCCAAATCCCGAAATCCCGCATCCCAAACTCCAGAAATCCCGCATCCCAAACTCCCGGATCCCAAAATCCCGGATGCCGACACCCCAGATTCTGGAATCCCGCATCCCGAAATGCAGGGTCTTGAAATCCCTCATCCCCCACCCTGAAATCCGGGATGCCGAAATCCCGATCCTGACATCCCGGGTCCCAAAATCCCGCATCTTGAAATCCCGGATCCCCAAAATCCCAGGTTCCGAAACCCCCTATCCCCAAATCCCCGGATCCCCAAAATCCCAGGTCCAAAAATCCTCGATCCCCAAATCCCCGGATCCCCAAAATCCCTGGTCCCGAAATCCCCGATCCTCAAATCCCCGGATCCCCAAAATCCCGGGTCCCGAAACCCCCTATCCCCAAATCCCCAGATCCCCAAAATCCCAGGTCCAAGTCCCCCAACCCCCCCGGGTGTCAAACGGGACAAACGAGAGCGAGAGAAATTCGGGATGGAGGAAAAAAAATGGGAAACTTGTTTGGAAACTCAGAGGGAAAACGGGATGTGAGCTCTGCTTGGAGAAACCCCGGGATGGGGAAAAAAGGGATGAGCCAGGAGAGCTGCTGGTTTTGGGAGAAATCCCGGGCGAAAAGGGATGAGCTGGGAGCGTTGCTCGTTTTTTGGGGGAAAACAGGGCTGAGCTGGGAGCGCTGATCGATTTTTGGGGAGAAAACAGGGCTGAGGTGAGAGCGCTGATCGATTTTTGGGGAGAAAACAGGGCTGAGGTGAGAGCGCTGATCAATTTTTGGGGAGAAAACAGGGCTGAGGTGAGAGCGCTGCTCGTTCTGGAGAAATTCCGGGGGAAAAAGGGATGAGTGAGGAGCGCTGCTGGATTTTTGGGGCACACAGGGCTGAGCTGGGAGCGCCGCTCGTTTTTGGGGAGATTCCGGGAGCAGGAGCCGAGCTGGGAGCGCTGCTGGTTTTTGGGGAAATTTGGGGCAGCAGGAGCCGAGCTGGGAGTGCTGCTGTTTTTTTTGGGAAATTTGGGGGAGCAGGAGCCGAACTGGGAGCGCTGCTGGTTTTTTTGGGAAATTCGGGGTGGTTCTGGTTTTTTTGGGAAATTTGGGGGAGCAGAAGCCGAGCTGGGAGCGCTGCTGGGTTTTTGGGGAGATTCGGGGGAGCAGGAGCCGAGCTGGGAGCGCTGCTGGTTTTTGGGGAAATTTGGGGCAGCAGGAGCCGAGCTGGGAGTGCTGCTGTTTTTTTTGGGAAATTTGGGGGAGCAGGAGCCGAACTGGGAGCGCTGCTGGTTTTTTTGGGAAATTCGGGGGAGCAGGAGCTGAACTGGGAGCGCTGCTGGTTTTTGGGGAGATTTGGGGCCCCCTTCCCATCCCGGGCCGAGCCCCCTTCCCATCCCGGGCCTGGCCCCCTTCCCATCCCGGGCCTAGCCCCCTTCCCATCCCGGGCCTGGCCCGCTTCCCATCCCGGGCAGAGGCCCCCTTCCCATCCCGGGCCGAGCCCCCTTCCCATCCCGGGCCTGGCCCCCTTCCCATCCCGGGCCTAGCCCCCTTCCCATCCCGGGCCTGGCCCCCTTCCCATCCCGGGCCTGGCCCCCTTCCCATCCCGGGCCTGGCCCCCTTCCCATCCCGGGCCTAGCCCCCTTCCCATCCCGGGCCTGGCCCCCTTCCCACCGCTGTTCCTGCACAGGGGTCCCTGCGCGTGGTTTTTGGGTTCGTTTCTGTGTTTTCCTCCTGACCTTTTGCAAATCGCGCCTGGAAGAAAAATCCCCTTTTCACCTTTTCCCCTCTGTTTTCCCCCCTCTTATCTCGGAGCTGATTGGGTTCTCTAAAATCTTTTATTGGGAGCAAATCCCGCTCCTACCCCGGCCCCGCTCCCTCTCCCTGCCCCAGCGATGCTCCGAGACCCAAATCTGGGCGTTTTCTGAGCCTTTTTTTGGGGGTGAGAGGTTTTGTTTTAGTGTTTTCCTCCTGACCTTTTGCAAATCGCGCCTGGAAGAATGGGGCTTCAAAACCCCTTTTTTTTTTTTTTTTTTTTTTAATTTTTTTCTTTTTTTGAGAGAAAGGAGTGTATTAGAGCGGGGACAGATTTTATCTGCGGGGCAGAGCGGTGCCCGGGGCGCTGCAGAAGCCGCGGCAGGTACTTCCCTCCTCATCCCTCATCCCTCATCCCTCATCCCTCATCCCTCATCCCTCATCCCGCGTCCCCCGGCCGCCCCCGCCGAGCGGATTTGCAAATTTACCCAAGGCCGAACAATGGATCCTCCTGGCAGCCTCCTGTTGACTTGTTTAGAAATCCCAGAGGCGTTTCGAGGTAAAAAGGTCAGAGCTGCACCGGGCCCGCTCTTCCTCCCTCCCCTCCCGGCCCTGGAGGTAAAAACCCCGAAATTTGATTTATTCTGGGCGAAATCCCCTTTTCGGGCCGGCCTTGGGGGAGCGGAAGGGAATAAACCACTTTTGACAACGTTTTTTTGGGGTTTGAGGCGCGAGAATTGGGAATAAATCGGAAACTCAGAAAAGAAAAACTCAGGAAATCAGAAATTGCTCCCATCCCCGGCCCGGTTTCTGCGGGATGCGAATTCCCGGGTTTTCACCCCGGGGACGATTTCCTGCTCTCATCAGGCCGGGAAATGAGTGCAGAATTCCACGAGGGAAGCCGGGCCCGATTCCAGGAACAGGGATCGGCCCCTTTGTTTGGGATGCTTGGAACAACCGCTGACTTTTCCTTCCTCCTCCTCCTCTTCCTCCCCCAGCCCCGCATCCCGCAATTCCCAGAGATTCCCACTGTGCTGAAAGGACCTGATTTGTGGGGGGTGAAAAAAAAAAAAAAAATCAACTTTATTGGTCTGAGGTAGCTCCGTGTGGGGTGCGGGGAGCAGCGGGAGGTTCCGACCGAGGACCCGCTCGGCTTTTGGGGATAATCCCATTTCCACCAGCGGCTTTTCGGTCCCCGATCTCCCCGCGAGGCAGGGAGGGCGTTAGGCCGCGCTCAAATCCCGGCTTTATCTGGCTCCGATAAGCCCGAGAGGGTGCGAGGAGCGCGCTGCGGGCTTTGAGGCTGCCGGGAGCTCCCAAAATTCGTCCCCATCGCCTCTGACACCTCCTGCGACAGCCCCGAGGGCAGCCCGGGCTCCTTTCCTCCCATAACAAAACCCCCTCCCCTCCTCCGCCGGCAGCAGCAAAAATCGAGAGGAAAAATAAAAAAACCCTGTAAAGCAGAAATAGTGCAAAACGGGAGCGGGAAATTGCGCTTTTTCGCTTTTTTTTTGGTTCTTTCCTGAGGGTTTGGCTCTTTGCAGAGGCCTCGGGTCTCGTTTCAAGATCTACAATCAGGAAATAAAAGGGGAACGAAGGGGGAAATGCCCCTAACTTTTTTTTTTTTACTTTTTTTTTTTTTTTTTTTTGGTCATCTCACGAGGAGGAAAAGCGCATCGGGCAGGGGGAGGAGGGGGAAAAAAAAAATCATTGCTCTCGTTTTTCCAAAGGGAAGAGAACTAAATTAAAGTTTCGTTGTTGTTTCGTTTCGTTTTGTTTTGTTTTGTTTCGTTTCGTTGTTGTTTTGTTTCGTTTTGTTTTGTTTTGTTTCGTTTCGTTTCATTTCGTTGTTGTTTTGTTTTGTTTCGTTGTTGTTTTGTTTCGTTTTGTTTTGTTTTTTGTTTTTTCCCTGGAGTTGAAAGTGCAGTTCCTAAGGGGAAGGGGGAAGGCAGAGAAGTCCCTGAGACACGGAAATTTCTCCGGCCGCTCCTTGGGAGTCCAGCGCCTGCGGAGGGGCCATAAATAAAGGGTGGGGACAGCCCGGAGGGTCCCGAGGGGGGACCCCGGCAGCTCTCGGGGGCTCTCAGGAGGAGCCGGAGCTGGGCGAGGCCTCGGGCGAGGATTGATCCGAGCCCTCGGCCGCTTCCTTGGGCGGCCCGCAGGCAGCGGCCGGGGCCAGCCCTTCCTTCTCCCTCTTCTTCTGCTTCATCCTCCGGTTCTGGAACCAGATCTTCACCTGCGTCTCGTTGAGCTCCAGGGTGGCGGCGATCTCCACCCTGCGGGCCCGCGTCAGGTACTTGTTGAAGTGGAACTCCTTCTCCAGCTCCGTCAGCTGCTTGGTGCTGAAGTTGGTGCGGATGGCGTTGGGCTGCCCCAGGAGCCCCAGCTCCGACGTTTTGCCTGAAAAGACCCCAAAAACACCAGGGCAGGGGCGGCCGGAGGGATCTTCTCTCTGAGGGGTCTCCCCTTCTCGCTCCGCCTGCAGCGCCCCGAGCTCCGCGCTCCCTCCCGGCCCCGCTCGGCCTCGGCCCCGCTCGCATCGGGCTCGGGACTCCGCTTTTCCCGGAGATCCACCCGGAGATCCCGGAGATCCATCCGGAGATCCATCCGGACATCCATCTCCTCGTCCTCCCGGCTGGGTTTTCCCCCTGGGATTCATCCCCTGGGTTTTACCCCTGGGATCCATTTCCTCATCCTCCCGGCTAGGTTTTTCCTCTGGGATTAATTCCCTGGGTTTTTCCCGGCTCCGCTTTTCCCGGAGATCCACCCGGAGATCCCGGAGATTCATCCGGACATCCATCTCATCCTCCCGGCTGGGTTTTCCCCCTGGGATCCATCCCCTGGGGGTTTTCCCCCTGGATCCATCCTCTGGGCTTTTTCTGGGATCCATCCCCTGGGTTTTTCCTCTGGATCCATCCCCTGGGGGTTTTCCCCCTGGATCCATCCCCTGGGTTTTCCATCTGGACCCATCCCCTGGGGTTTTTCCCCTGGGATCCATCCCCTGGGGTTTTTCCCCTGGGATCCATCCCCTGGGGTTTTTCCCCTGGGATCCATCCCCTGGGGTTTTTCCCCTGGGATCCATCCCCTGGGGTTTTTCCCCTGGGATCCATCCCCTGGGGTTTTTCCCCTGGGATCCCACCCCTGGGGGTTTTCCCCCTGGGCTTTTCCCTGAGGTTTTTCCCCCTGGATCCATCCCCTGGGTTTTCCCCCTGGATCCATCCCCTGGGGGTTTTCCCCCTGGGCTTTTCCTGGGATTCATCCATTGGGTTTTTCCCCAGGATCCATCCCCTGAGTTTTTCCCCTGGATCCACCCCTGGGGGTTTTCCTGGGATCCATCCCCTGAGTTTTTCCCCTGGATCCATCTCCTGGAGTTTTTCCCCCGGGATCCATCCCCGGACCCCGCGGGAAGGGCTGGAAGGGGAGGGAGAGGGTGATGATGGCGGGGGAGGAGGAGGAGGAAGGCCGGGGTTTAAGGGAAGGTGGCGGGGAAGGAAGTGGAACAATAGAGGAGGGGATGGAAGGCGCGGCTGAGGAAGGAGGAGGAAGCGCCGAGCGTTTCCTGCCCCGAGCTGGGCTTAAATCAGCCTCGGGCCTGCGGGAAGCCGAGCTCAGGGACGCTGCTTGGGGTGTGATGGAAAATCTCTGGCTGGGGTTTAAGAAAAAGGCCCCAAAACCCAACCAAACCCAACCCAAACACCAAAAAAAAACCACCCCCAAACCTAAAACAAAGACCCCAAACTCCAACCCAACCCAACCACCAAAAAACCACACCCCAAAACCCAAACCAAGCCAAACCCCCCAAAAAAAGCCCCAAACCCCAACCCAACCCAACCACCAAAAAAACACCCCAAAACCCAACCCAACCCAACCCAACCCCAACCCGTGCTCCACTGGAAGGCGCCTCCAAACCCTGGGGAACCCAACGCTCCCCCACCTCAAACTCACCTGTTTTGGGGGGGTTCCTCTTCACCCTCATCCACTCGAAGGTCTGCGCTGCCCCGGCCCTGACGCCCACCTCGGGGTGCCCGGGGGGCTCGGGCTCCTCCAGCAAGGCCGCCGAGAGCTCGCCGTAGAGGCCGGGCAGGTAGGCGGGCTGCTCGAGGCCGAAGGCTGGCGGCTGCTGGAGCTGCCCCGCGGGCCCGCAGAAAGCCTCGGGCAGCGAGGCCGAGCCGAAGGCGGCCCCGGGCAGGTAGAGCCCGTCCGCGTCCTGCTGGCCCGCGTAGAGCTGCTGGTAGCCCGGCTGAGCTGGGTAACCCGGGCTGGCGAAGCGGGAGGAAGAGGAAGAGGAGGGAAGGTGGAAGCCGTGCTGGGGGAGATGCCCGAGGGCGGGCGCGGTGCCGGGCGGGCCGAAGGGGCCGTCGGGGCTCGGAGTGGGGCTACCTGAGCACGGAGGGAAGGAAGGCGAGGCCGGCTCGGGGTGGTGCTGCGGGAAGGCGGCGGTGCCGCGGTTACAAATTGCGAACTCCAAGAAGGAGTTCATGGCGGTATTGTCCATCTGCCAGTGATGGAGGAGGGTCAGCGCGTTTTGGGGGCGATGCCGCCTGCCCTACAACCTTTGGGTAGTATGTCAAAGCTGGGAAACTTCCTGCCGGCCACGGGGGGACCCCGAGGAGCCGCGGCCGAGCCGGGGGGGACCCCGCGGGCGGAGCGGGGCCAGCCCAATGAGAGCGGGGCTCCCGAAGTTTGCGGCCGGCTCCGGGCTCATCCATCACGGCCGTGACATTTGCATGACAAAGGGGCTTCAATCAAACCCGGCCCATCAATCTGATAACAACACGGACGCGTCAAAATCTTCTCCTCAAAGACTTTAAAAGAGAGAGGGGCGAGGCGGGGTGCGGGGAGGTGCTGGGCAAGGATTGCGGTGACCCGCGAGTGTTTTTTAAGTGCTAAAAAGGGCCCCGAGTTATGCGAGGAGCCGGGCTCAGGCGCAAGTTCTGACTTTAAAAGGTTTTTTCCCCCCGGTGCCGGCTCGGTGTGAGGAAAAGAAAAGAGGGCGAGGGGATGGGGAGGTGTGAGCGCGGGCACAAAAGGATGCTCTTTTATTCTTTCGGGAATTTTCCCCTCCGAGCTCCTCGCACCAAAGCGCCTCCGGACTTTTCCGCGATGCTGAAAAATCCGCTCCGTTCTCGCTTTAATTTCCCCCGCCCGGGCTTTGTGCGCGCGGTAAAAGCGCCCTAATTAGATCGGCATTCTAATGAGGAGGACAAATAAAGTTAGCCAGGGCAGAGCGGCTTTTGTTGGGGCCGTGCCAGGCCCGGCCTGGCAATTCCGGGATGGGAACTGAGCCCGAGCCCTGCGTCCACCTGGGGACCTTCCCGTCCATCCACGCACCGCGATCTCCCCGCTAAAACCGGGTTTAGGGGCTCACCTACTGCATAATCCCTGCTAAAACCGGGTTTAGGGGCTCACCTACTGCATAATCCCGGCTAAAACCGGGTTTAGGGGTTCAAGCACTGCACATTCCCCACTAAAACCGGGTTTAGGGGCTCACCTACTGCATAATCCCTGCTAAAACCGGGTTTAGGGGTTCATGTACTGCACATTCCCTGCTAAAACCGGGTTTAGGGGCTCACCTACTGCACATTCCCTGCTAAAACCGGGTTTAGGGGTTCAAGCACTGCACATTCCCCACTAAAACCGGGTTTAGGGGCTCACCTACTGCATAATCCCTGCTAAAACCGGGTTTAGGGGTTCATGTACTGCACATTCCCGGCTAAAACCGGGTTTAGGGGGTTCACGCACTGCACGTTCCCTGCTAAAACCGGGAATTCACTTCAGGAATTCGGTTTTTAGGGCTCACACACCCCACACTCCTGACTAGACTCGGGTTTTAGGGGCTCACGCACTTCACACTCCCTGCTAAACTCGGGTTTAGGGGTTCATGTACTGCACGCTCTTGACGAAAACCGGGTTTGGGGTCTCACGCACTTCACATTCCCTGCTAAACCCGGGGTTAGGGTCTCACGTACTGCACATTCCCTGCTAAACCCGGGTTTAGGGGTTCATGTACTGCACACTCTTGGCTAAACCCGGGTTTAGGGGGTTCACGTACTGCACCTTCCCTGCTAAACCCGGGTTAGGGTCTCACGCACTGCACATTCCCGACTAAAACCAGTTTTAGGGGCTCACACACCGCACATTCCCTGCTAAAACCAGTTTTAGGGTCTCACACACCGCACATTCCTGACTAAAACCAGTTTTAGGGGCTCACACACCGCACATTCCCTGCTAAAACCAGGTTTAAGCGCTCACCTACCCCACTCTCCCTACCAAACTTCCCTGCTAAAACCGGGAATTCACTTCAGGAATTCGGTTTTTAGGGCTCACACACCCCACACTCCTGACTAGACTCGGGTTTTAGGGGCTCACGCACTTCACACTCCCTGCTAAACCCGGGGTTAGGGTCTCACGTACTGCACATTCCCTGCTAAACCCGGGTTTAGGGGTTCACGTACTGCACATTCCCTGCTAAACCCGGGTTAAGGGGTTCATGTACTGCACACTCTTGGCTAAACCCGGGTTTAGGGGCACACACACCACATATTCCCTGCTAAAACCGGGTTTAGGGTCTCACGCACTGCACATTCCTGACTAAAACCAGTTTTAGGGGCTCACACACTGCACATTCCCTGCTAAACCCGGGGTTAGGGGCTCACGCACTGCACATTCCTGACTAAAACCAGTTTTAGGGGCTCACACACCGCACATTCCCTGCTAAAACCAGGTTTAAGCGCTCACCTACCCCACTCTCCCTACCAAACCCATTTTTTTTTCCCGGGCTTCTAACCAACCGCGGGGCACTAATCCCTGCCCTGCCTTCCCCGCGGGGTCCGGCTGAGGAGGAGGAGGGCAGAGCCTGCCTCCAGGCCGGGCCTAGAGAATGGGAACATAGGTAGGCAACATTTATTTACTTGTTGGGGGCCTCGGGACAAGGGCGGCGGACGCCCACAGCCATTTGTTACTTGTCAGGAGATTTACGGCCCGGCCACGCTCCGGGAGCCGCTCCGCGCCCTCTCCGCTCCTCTCCCCGGGCCAAAAGTTCACCGGGAGAGCCAAACCCGGGAGGAAAATCCCCCCTGGCAGGAGCATCTGGCCAAAAATCCCAGCCCGGCAGAGATGTTTCCCCTCTTTTCGAGCTCAGGATTTGATTTTTTTTAGCGTTTCCAGCGGCAGTTCTTCAGTTTAGGATTTAAATTTTCCGTCCTTGCGTTTGTTTATTCGTTTATTTTGGCTCTGCTGGCGCGGAAATTAAAATGTTTGGGGTTATAAAGGTTTTTAAAACTCTCTCCTTCTTCCTTTGCGTAATTCCAAGAGGCTCTCCCGTCATTCCCCGGGCAGGAAAAATCCATTTCTGATTCGATTCCTTTGATATTTCGTTGCGTTCGGGGTCAAATTTGTGGTAAAAAGAAAAAAAAAAAAGAGAAAATGCAGAGGTTTATTCCGGCCTGGAACGGATGGTTTGTGATTTCTCATGGTTTCCCACCGCGATTCGCTCCTCTGTTGCATCAAAGGGATTTATTTTAATGAAAATCGCGAAAAATCGCGATTTTTTTTTTTCAGTTGTGGCGGGGAAACTTTTCCTCTAAGCCAAGCCTAAATTAGAGCTGAGGTGAAAAATCCGATTTTTTTTTTTTTTTTTTTTTTTTTTGGATGAGACACGGCTCCCAAAATCGGAGCCAGAATTGGTGAAATTGTGCAAAATTCAGCCTGAAATGGGGACGGGCAGCAGGACTGGGGTTTAGGGCTGGGATCACTTCGGGAATTCGGGAAAAATCGCTTTTTTTTGGGATTCCTAACGGTCAGATCAGGGATTGAGGGCTGGAATCACGCCGGGAAAACCTCGGGAATTTGGGAAAATCGCTTTTTTTTTGGTTCCTAAGGCTCAGAGGAGGGATTTAGGGCCGGGATCACCTCGGGAATTTGGGAAAATCGCTTTTTTTTGGGAGAACGTGAGCTGGAGGAAGGGCCCCTTTCCCAACCCCCTCCCAGGACCTCCGGGATGCCCCAAAATCCCGTTTTCTACCCCCAATTCTGCCTTGTGGGGAGGATTTTGGGAAGGCCCTGGGGGAGGAACCCTCAGATCTCGATCCTATGGAAACATCTTGATTTTGAAGTGGTTGTTTTAAAATCTTGATTTGAAACCTTGATTGGAAACCTTGATTTGAAATCTGCATTTTAAAATAATTTGAAATCTTGATTGGAAACCTTGATTTGAAATCTGCATTTTAAATCTCGATTTGAAATCTGCATTTTAAATCTCGATTTGAAATCTGCATTTTTCCATCTCGAACCGGGGAAGTTTCTGTTCAGGCCACAGAGCAGGAACGAGGCATTTCCAAAGGCTCAGAGTCTCCAGATGCTTCGTTTTTGGGGTCAAATCCAGCTTTTTTGGGGGTTAAATGTAACTTTTTGGAGGTTTAGTGTAACTTATCTGAAGCTAAACGTAATTTTTAGGGGTTAAATAGAACATTTTGGGGGTTAAAAAGAACTTTTTGGAGGTTAAGTAGAACTTTTTGGGGGTTAAAAAGAACTTTTTGGAGGTGAGGTAGAACATTTTGGGGGTTAAAAAGAACTTTTTTGGAGGTGAAATAGAACATTTTGGGGGTTAAAAAGAACTTTTTGGAGGTGAAATAGAACTTTTTGGGGGGTTAAATGTGACTTTTTTAGGGAAGCCTCAGTCAGAGATGAGGCGGCGCTGAGGTAAAAAATCCGATTTTTTTTTAATTTTTTTTTTTTTAATTTTTTTTTTTAATTGTGGGTGAAAAGGTCGGATGGGAAGGGAGAGAAAAGAGGAGCGGGAGGGATTGAATGAGTTACAGATCTCGGGTCAGGAAAAAAGGCAAATCCCCAGAAATTCAGATAAATAATAAAATATATTGAAAAAAAAAAAATAAAAAATGGTGGGTGAAACACGGGAAAATCCCAAATAATGCAGATAAAATAAAATTAAAAAGGGAAAAAAATGGAAAAAAACCCAGATGATTCAGATAAAATAGGGAAATAAAACGGGGGGAAACCCAGATAATTCTGATAAAATTAAGAAAAAAAAAAAAGTAAAAAAAAAAAAAAAAAAAACCCAAAAAAGCACCAAAAACCCCAACGAACCAAGCAACCCACCAAAAAAAAGTTCTACTGAATTTTAAAAATGTATGTACATCACCATAAGAAGTGTCTAATTTGAATTCATTCTGTTTCAAACATTGTGTTGAAACAGGCATTGGATTTCTCAAATTCCTAAAAGACTGTTTTAGGTATTTATTTGAACTCTATATTTGTGACTATTTAGTAATTAAAAGAACTGGATCTCTTAACATAAATCTTGAGAGATGGTCTGAGCTAGTTCAAGTGTTCTATGGTTCTCACGTGCTGACAGTTTATACTGATGTCACTCTTCAGAAATTAAGCATGCCAGACAAGCACACCTCCCATTCACTCCAGGAAGTTAGGCCAGTGCGTTTCCTATGGCTCTTCCTCCTTCCTGACATACAGAGTTAACAGCTTCCAGAGTTCAGAGACATCCACAGGACTGATATAAACACCTGTCATGGTCTGACAGCGGCCAAACGCCAAGCACCCATGAAAGCCGCTCACTCGCCCTCCCCTGCCACAGCTGGGCAGAAAACGTAATTTTTAGGGGTTAAATAGAACATTTTGGGGGTTAAAAAGAACTTTTTGGAGGTGAGGTAGAACATT